ATCCTCGAAAACAACGTGTCCGCCAAGGTGAGTGCACATCACCTCGGCAACTGTAGGAGCACACAGAGGTGGAGTACGCAGAGCAGAGCATCCTGGAGTAAAGCTGTCTAGGTGGAAGCAGCACTCTCAAGTGAATACTCTGAGCACCAAGTATCCTCAAATACAGGCGCAGTTTGAATCATATCCCAGGAAGATATATGATTGGCCCCACTTTACATAGCCAATAGAGAACAGAGTGAAGATCTAAGTTCAGTTTCTCAATTCCCCTCTAGGGTTCTTTCCACTTGCTGAATTTTAAGCAGTGACAGATTAGTCAGCACAAAAGATTGGAAAACTAAGACAATGATTCCATCACTGCTCAGATCCAGAAGCACCTCAATAACAACAAAACTCTAAGAGGGTAAATTATTGCAACAATAATTATTTTCCAGGATGCATTTGTTCCTTTATTTCCAGAGGGCAGTATATTTGACTTGGTGGCCCCTATAATAAACCCTTATTTTAAAGTGAAAATCTACCAACATATATGGGGAAATAGCTTCCTGTGTAAGCTGTGTTCTTTCACAGAGCCCAGGCTGTCTTTCCACTTTTGATCTTATTTACTTCATTCTCAGTCAATCCTTCAAAGCCCATTTCTTAGAATCTATGAATGGTTGGGGAAGTAAAATTCTAGTACTGTAAATGTCACCTTCCCAGCCTTGATTTTCTCAAGTGAAGGTCAATGATAAGAGACTCCCTCTTGGGACATAATTTGGGGCCACATGACTTTTTCTATTGATCCTGTTGAAATGACAAGGTCATAACACAAGGGAGATAGACTGGCTCTGGGAGAGCTGGAGGCCAAGAAATATAAGACCAGATGGGATTACACAAGGCACAAATAATGAAGAAGAGAAAAACTGGCTACAGGAGAACAACAAAGACATCCATCTTGGGATATGCATTGAACATATCCCAGGTTAAATCCAATCAGTATTCTTGCATTTCCTGTGGTTGCCTTTGTGCTCACAGCACCTAGTTATTTTGTACAGCAACATGAAAGTGTCGAGCCTTTCTAGTACTGTTGAGCAGCAGCTTAAATATCTTTCATGCCATCCTTTTCCTATTACGCTTCAAACATTTCTTTAAACCTCCTGTTCTAAAGATCTTGTGGTATGAGTAATCCTGTAATCAGCTTACACCTCTCCTGTTACTCTGAGACCTAGAATCTTTCATCCAAACAGATAGGATTGGAAATGTGAAGCCAGCAACATGAAATGAACTCATCCAACTGAGTTCATACTTGTGCCTTACTTGGTCTTTAGGCATGTATCTTGGGATGATAACAAGTATTTTTTATTTATTTTTATCTTTTGCATAGATCCTGGGTGTGGAACAAACTGAACCCAGAGATGTCAATCATCAGTGTAGTATGAAAATAGATAGCGTGAAGACCAGCTGTGATCCTGGATAGGATGCTCCTCAGCTGGAAGCCTGTAATTAAAGCTCTGCATCTTCAACATAAATTTAATGCTTTCTTTCAGAATTGATTGTAAGGCTAGACTTCATGTCTGTTGAACCAATATCAAGTGAACCAGAAAATTATATACATATATATATATATATATATATATATCTCCATGAGCTTTATGTGTGAAGGCCAATGTATACCTTGTACCTTGTTTTTTCATATTTGAATAATTTTCTTCAAAATACCACACCACTCTAGAAGCTGAAGAATCAAAAGAACATCAGTTGCATTACAATGATGCCCAATGCTCTATCATGTTCTCTTTGACCTCTCAGAAATACATTTGTCTTCTGAGAGCAGCCATATCTCTACCAACTACTCTTTATTCCATTGGCAAATTTTTATTAAAGAGAGAAATCAATTTGGACCTCTTCATACTAGCGATTGCCAGTTTTCCTATCTATATAGACCATAGGTATCTCAGAGGCAAGAAGTCAGGAAACCAGTATCCTATACCAGAAAACATAAGTCTCCCAAAGACTACGGACTCCAAAAACACATCTAAACATTAAAAATGAAGAAAAATAAAAGGGCCGTATCTACAGACTGCCTATCAATGAACATAAGCCAATCAGTGAACTAGTATACAAGCAAACAGAAGTAGCAATAAATTTGATGTAATAAACTGGCCTATTTTAGCAAATTATTACCTAGATGAAGGGGACAAAGCCATCTGATTTGGTTGAATATGTTATTTCACATGAGTGCTGTAATGACATAATAGTATTTGAGTTGTTTTAGCCCATTCATACTAATCCTGCTTGTAATAGCTGCTAAGCATTCAGTATCTTCTGTGGACAGCATTTCTTTGTTCTCTCTCTCTCTCTCTCTCTCTCTCTCTCTCTCTCTCTCTCTCTCTCTCATTTAAAATACTTGTGGCTAAGCAGGATTGGGAAAATCCTGGATATAATTAAACTGGTTTCCTTGATGTAAGACTTCTCAGAATATTTGATGTGCCAAAAGCACTGTGCATTTCTAAGAAAAGCACAGAATTTGTACCATTTTACAAACTCATTTGACTACAGAACTCTTTTCTGAAGAGTTCTGTGGAGTGGGGAGATAGGCAATTGTCTTTAAAACACACTTCAGGGAATATTACTTTAAATTACTGACCTCAGTGACTTTCAAGGAAAACAGCAGATGGAAGTTGACCAGGTGGGAGTGTGTGTTCCTTTGGAAACTCCCTATCTCTTCTGATAGACTTAAGGACAGTATCTGGGGCATTGAAAGAGGAGAGTTTCTCACATTATCTACCTAAGCCATGTGAGAATCTCTTTATGCCAGTTAACGCAATCAACATCCATTGATTTGCAATGTGCTAGGATCTGAACATTAATTTAAAAGAAAGTTAGGACTACTTCTAATATGCCTAATGCAAAAAGAACTGTTCAAAGAAAAAATAACATTTAAACAAGATGATCTCTTAGGGTCAGGGTGAGCAGTGGGAGCATTTTACAGAGAAGGATCTATATACACAGACATACAGATGCTGGAAAGGGACACATTAAGCATTGAAGCATCACTTCCTTCATTCTCTGTACAGACACATCATATCCCATGCTGCTATTTTATAGAGTGCTGCTCAGAGAAATGAAAACTGATGGTTGAAGGTTGTTGGAGAGGGCTTACCACTTGGTATTGCCTGCTAATGATGACAATCCACTAGTCCTTGCACTGGAGATCCCTTAATTGGGTGGTGGAAGTGGCCCTTTACATGATTAGAAGTAATCACATGTTGTATAGTTCCACAAAATGTTGGGAACTTATAAGGAGAATGATAAATGTAAAGTTGGGAGAAGATAATTCAGATGTATGCAAATTGCCTTAAACCTCATTTAATCATGAGTTGTCTGCAAACTGCCTTAAACCTCATTTAATCATGAGTTGTCTGCAGATGTATATGGGCTTTCATTTAGATTGCTTTCAAAGCCACTGTTTCATTTGATCCTCAAAAGAATAGTGTGAAGATGAGCAGAAGAGGTGCGATAGGTCACTCTGTGCAAAGAGGAACTGTGAAGTTCTGGACAGTTACATGGTTAGGCCAAGTTTCCACAGGAAGTGGCAGTATTGAGACTAGAGACCAAAACTCTTGAACTTCAATCCTATGTACTTCTTTTATATTTTGTTCTGTATGACTTAGGCTGAAGGTATTGGCAAGCAGACTCATGATCAAAACAACAAAAGTTCTCTAAAAGCCACATTGGATTAGGCTACTTATAAAACAATTATCAAGCACATCCCTGCCTTAGGTGGGAAATTAAACGTGCTGGCTTCTAAATTCATCTACTCTGAGATGATGCAATTCTAAAATTCTTGAGTCTTATTTTTCCCTCTAAAATTCTTGAGTCGTATTTCTCCCTTTCAGATCACAGAATGGTAAGAAGTAAATAAAAGTCACAAATTTACCAAAACTGCCAATGACACATGGATAGGAATGACCAGATACTGAAAATCTTGAATCTTATAAATCAGAATTGATGAGAAAAGGCATAGTTCTGCATTTGAGCAATCATCACTCATTCTGATGTATAGTGAATCATCCTTCTTAGGATTTGTAGAGTTGTTTAAACACCAAAGGCATTTCAAGAGGTAGAATTATGGACTGCTAACAATCTATACTTGTTTTGTGTGATGGAGCACCAGGATTCACTTTAGAACCAATAAATGTAGCCATTGTGCAATTCCCTTGAAATATTTTTTGCATATATTTACAGACCATTATACTCAATGGTACATCTGTCTGATGGAGGCGCCTGGCTACATTCTTTCCCAGATATTAATATAGGTGGTACTTCAGTAGTATAAGAAATGACATGAAGAACCTGATTTGGAGGAGAACAGATGGCAGCATCTTTCTTGGTCTAATTTTAGCATCCTGAAATAGTCCTTTTCTCACAGAAACCATCAGTGAAAACAAATTAAGAGAGCTATATCATGTGGAGAAGTGAGAGAGAGAGAGAAAGAAAGTTCTGTGCAACACAGACAGTGAACCAGAGGCTGCAGTGATTCTCCATATCTGACTCTTTTCTTAGTATATGAAGGTCGCCTTAACCTTCTTTCATCAGACTGGGTGTAGAACACTAAGAGGAGGGTACCCAAAAAAATTAAGTGGGCAAATCTCATCTTAAATTTTATGTATGAGTAGTCAAGTTTACATCATATAATAGATAAGTTTATACAAATAACTATTTATGGGATCTAGTTTTTAGCAGATCTAGTTTTTAGCATTTTTTTCTTAGCAGATAAGAAAACAGATGCTAAAAGGATCATTATATTTGGTCAATTAGAAGAGGGTTGACTCTCAAAGCCTCAGATTCCTGGACAATCTTTTGTCTGCTGAAAAGACCTTTGCTCAAATAAGACATATAATATCAGTTAGGTATAGTGAGATGTAGAAGATGAGGCCCTCAGTCAGAAATAATGGCTTAGGTGTAACACAGTCATCCACGGATTTAGAAAAATTAGAAAAGTACTTTGAAAAGATACTTACCTGTTTTCCATCCAGAGTGTAGAGTTTCTTAACTACCCCGGTCTCCAGTTTGATGGCTTCAGTGATATCAGTGAGGACTTGTTCAAAAGAGTGGGCCGTCTTCTTGTTCAGAAGCACACGCACGGCCTTCCGAGGCTTCACCCCACTGCGGATGATGGTCACCAGCTTGGGGCGCACAAAGTCCTTATTCTCTCTGGCCTGGGCACTGTTGCTGCTGGCCAGGGACTGGGGAGCTTTCATATTGGCTGATGTCTTTACATTGACAGACCAGTTGGGATTGACATTCTTGGTGTACTCCACCTTTTTAAAGAAGTTGTCTGAGGAACAGACATAGCTTTCCCCTGAGGGAAGAAATAAGTGGTTAGGTGATTAGTTCCACAGCAGATACATAGACTCTACCTAAAGCATATACAGTGAGGCTGGGGAAAGACTTTTGATGAAATAATGAAAATAGCCAACCTCACGTACAATTCCTAAATGAGTTATCTCACAACTTGGATCATTAAAATTGAATGAAGCCATTAAGACTTAGTTTTTTTCTCTCTTATGTTTAATTTTTTGACCAACTTTGCATGCTTAAATCTGGTCATCTGAATTACTAAATTGAAGACAACAGTATGCAATAAAACAGTCATTGTTGAATTCCTATCATTTTATTTAGTGAAATTCTGTGTTGTTTCTATTTTTTTACTGTACTTTGTTCTCTTTAGAAAATGAAAAAGATCAAAACTTCAAAAGTGATCAGCAATTCACAGCATAATTATCCAAGCCATCCCTTTTATTACTATTTTGTGTTGTCCTTAAAAATTAAAAATTAAAAAATGAAAGTGATCAGCAAAATATGCTGTAATAAAATGGCATACCTATTGAAGAATCTTGTACAGTTAAGAGTTCTAAGTACAATGAACACTCATGTTTAATCTAACAAGTGGAATTCTTGACTTTAATATGGTTTTCCTGGAGTTCCTAGAAGGTTTGCTAACATCTGGAAGCATTACTGGAGTACTTTTAACATGTCTCCACTTACTAATCTTCCTGTGCTGTTTTTGGACTCATAACTCTATTCTCTTGTTACACTGTAAACTAAGGAGAACTTCCAAAGTTAACCATTTTTCATTGCAAATTAAAGTGAACTAAATAATCTTGCATGTCAGATATATACTATATACTTGGTAAGAGGTCAGACCATCCTTTGTACATAGTATTTTTTTTTTTTTTTGGCAGAACCGGAGATTGAACTCAGGCCCTTGCGCTTGCCAGGCAAGTGCTTATTCTACTGAGCCATCTCCCCAGTCCCTGTACATAGCATTTGGCTAATCAGGAAATGTTAAGGGCCTGGGAGATGGCTCAGTAGAATAAGCACTTGCCTGGCAAGCACAAGGGCCTGAGTTCAATCCCTGGTACTGGAAAAAAAAAAAAGAAAGAAAGAAAGAAACTGACAGGAAATGTTGAAATGGGAAGTGTGTGTGTGTGTGTGTGTGTGTGTGTGTGTGTGTGTGTATACAGATTGTTATTTAGATATTTTCTCCATCTTTGTGTATGCATGAGCAGTAGAAGACACAGTTATGCACACATATATTCAAAACACAAGCAAGCACACACACAGCACACACACACACACACACACACACACACACACACACAGAATTCTTTGTGTTTTCAAGTCTAGCTCTTACTTCAAAAACACTCTGTTATAGTTCTACTACCACCTTGCATCTCTCTATCCCCCCAAATGCTGTAGATTAGATCTGTGTACTTGAGGCCATCTTCTTCAATGCTCTCCTTTGGCTGCCATGATTAAGGAGGTAGAGTTCTGAAGATACATTATCCAGCCTGATACATAGATTGGGGATATCTCGTCTTGGTTTTGAATTTTATTGGGCTGAGGGAAATGACTAATCCAGGAGAAGACATGCAGGGGTCACAGGCAAGAGGAGGAGACTGAACCCTACTAACAGCTGAAGAAAGAGAAAGAAGTAGGCTCAGCCCAAGGGTGAAAATATTGAAAAAATGCTGTATTTGTAAAGTAAATCACATTAGCTTCTAAGTATACAGAAGTTCATCCAGAGGTTGAGCTCCAGAAATAGTGTAATTTAATCAGCCTGAAGTCATCAGTAACAACTCTAAGTAAATAAATCAACCCCAGCCAGTGCAGAGGAAACATTAAACACTATGGCAGTGCGATGGCTCTTCTCTTTCCTTTGGTCTCAGCACGAGAACCACACAGAGACATTCAGGCACATGAGGCTGATAACACCCTCCCTTTGCAAATATTGATTGCTGTACCACCAGATCCTTCAAGTCATATAAATTCATAAATTTCTCAGTTGGTGCCCAGAGAAAATTGGGCTAGCATCTCTAGAGCACCTTGGAGAACATGTACGTGTGTGTGTGGAAAAGGAGGGGATGAGGGAGAGGCACACCCAAAGCTACTCTCAGGTTCAGAAGCCACCAGGGTTCTGTTTTGACAGGAGGACCAAGGGAAGATGTGTAGGAAGCACCCGCACCATTCTCACTTGGCACACACCTGCACAATTAAGACACCAGCTAAAAGAAACCTGAATTTCTACGACTTCCTTGTTGGCCCATCCAAACTTAGTCCAGGGACTGGAGGGTAGGGTCTTTAGTTTGTGACTTAAAAGCATAAAGAAACCTTTTTCAGTTCTTGCATATATTCAGAACCAATATTTACTGCACACTAAAAGCAACCTCTTGCCTTAGCACTTCCCCAAATTCATGGGTACCTTCCAAGAGGACATTGCCTCAAGTCAAATGTTTTCCATAACTTGTCATGTACTTTAAAAGTCTATCCGACAACTGCTAGCATGAAAATGTGCAACACGATGTATTTATGATTTCGCTCATCGACAGTCTCTTCTGGCGAGTCAGCTGTGTAGCCGTTAAAGCTCTGGACTTCCTCTGCCCCACCTCTTAAACCTCTTAAGCCTCTGAACTATGAATATGATTAACTACCCCCAGATGAAAATGAACATGATGGAAACAACTATGGTATCATATGGCACTGAAGAACTTTGCAAAGGGTCCACCCTTTAGCCAAATCTATGTTGAGCACCTTCCAAGGGTACATTTTAGTCACTACCCTCTCTTTTTGGCCTGAATACAGGGCAATGGAAAAAGAACAGCTGATATAATGTCAGTCATAAGGTGGTTCTCAACACCTCTTAGTTGTGTACATTGGGGTAAGTCACCTAGCCTCCCATGACTACAGTGTCTTTTTTAGCTGCAAAGTACAGGTTCTAATAGTAATACCTACCTAATAGGATTGTATGCAGTACAAATCAAAAGATAAATAGAAAGTGCTGAATCCAGAAAAAAATATAGCAATCACCTCATAAATTCCTACTGCTTTTAAGTCTCTCATATGAAGGAACAGAGAATAAAAGGAAGGTGTAAAGAGGAAAAGCATGAAGAAAAGTTTGAGAGAGAAGGAAAAGTAATGAGAAAGAGTTGAACCTGAAGAAAAGAAAAGAGAGAGTAGCAAAATTAGCCCTCTAGGATGTGAGCTGCGATCACTCTAAGCACAGCTCTGGGTATGCCACCGAAACCTTCAGCTGCAAATGCTGGGACTCTATAACTAATGATCAGGAAAGTTACTGCTGCTGCTCCCTGAGGCCAGGATTGTTGAGATGGTGAAGAGTACTCGCTTCCTGGGTAGTTTTAAGTGTTAGTTTTTGACAAATAAATTAATAAAAATGTGTCTTGATCCCATTGGAACAAATGAGCTGTGCCAAAGGAACTGGCTCATATATCCATGACCCAGTATGTATTACTATACAGACCAGAGGTTCCCAAACCACCCCAGTTATACATATTCTGTCCCATGGTTTTCATATTAATGCTCAAAATCAGGAGTCTGGTGAAGCTGGGTTCAAATTCCAACAGGTACTTAGGAGCTGTGTGACCTCATGCAGCTCACTTAATCTCTCTGAGTCACAGCTCTTTCATCCATAAATTAATGATATTTTACTCAGTGATAACTGAGTCCCTTCTAGGCTTAAAGGTTAGTAAGAATGGATTTTCTTCTCTCTTCCATCTCAAACAGACTTGACGAAATAAAGGTGTTACAGTAATCAAATATTGAAGAAATAGATGCCCATGACAAAGGCCCCTTCTCTTTTACTGGAAAGACATCAAATGTGCTGCCTTACTAGACTAAGGCTTCCTTGTTCTGATTTTGCAAACATTTTAAATATTTACTGTTACTTGGTGCTTCCTACACATCTTGCTGTGACAATTTGCTGGAACTGAAAACCTGTTTTAGAGTGAGGAGATAAAGAGTCATGGAACCACACAAAAAGTATAGAATATGACAAGTTTGGGGCTCAAAATGGTCTATTATCAACCTTCTTCGGTTTTAGGAAGATCCTATTCTCAAAACTATTAAATAAGCTTTTATCTTCTCAGAGCAAAATTGTTTTGCTTGGGTTTTCTCTTCTTCTCCAGGGCTTTCTAACTCAAGAAAGAAAATATTAAAAGCTATTTTATTATATTAAATGACACTTTCTTGTATACCATAGCCACTAATAATGCAGACTTCCTGGGTAGTTTTAAGTGTTAGTTTTTGACAAATAAATTAATAAAAACATGTCTTGATCCCACTGGAACAAATGAGCTGTGCCAAAGGAACTGGGTCATATTGTTACTATACAGACCAGATTTTCCCAAACTGCTCTAGTTATAAATATTCTGTCCCATGGTTTCCATATTAATGCTCAAACTTACCACAGTTTGGATTGACAACCATTTCTCCACCATTTGGCTAAGATCAAGTGTCAATTTGCATTCACAAAAACTGAGTAGTGAATATATCCTTCTAAAATAGATCTAGGCTTTATATATACAGGAAGTGCAAAAGGGATTGGACGGAATACAATAGGATGAAAGACGAGACAAAAAGCAATACCACCAGTGGATTTCATCCATTGATTTATTGGGACACAGTTAATGAGGACCACATCCCTTGTAGTGTTGTTAAGAACCTTCGAGTACACAAGGAGTTGTGGAAAAGCTGACATTAGAAACCTGATGATTCAGTAAAATGGAGCATAAAACATATTGTCTGCTGCCAGATGCTGAAAGAGTCGGGGTAGCAGACAGCTGGCTAGAAGCACAAGGCGAAAGGGTGCCACAAAGTGAGAGTGATGCCTTTTATTTCAATTTATTTTATGTTAAATATTGAATAATGTGGCCATTTGAAAATATCATATGTTCTATATTCTATTTTTCTTTTAAGATTTGTAAAGTAAAAATCAAAAACAAAGATTTATGCATTCATAGAGATTCTCAACAAGATTGTTAGCTGAAGGGGATCATCAAATTCACTAAATCTAATACTTCCCAAATCTAAATCTTCAGAGTCACTGGAGCTGTAAGGAAAAGGAATTTTTCTCTACTGTACAGTATAGACCGTACAACTACTACAGAAATCAATATGATGGAGATTCCTCAAAAAAGGATTTGAGGTTCCATTTGACCAAACTATTCTCCTAGGTATCCTCCAGGAAATGTGGAAAACATACCACAGTGACATATGTGAATCCATGTTTATAGCAGCACAATTTGTAATAGTTACATTTGGATATAACCCAAATGCCCATCATCCAATGAATGAATAAAAAAGCCATGGAGATAGATAGATAGATAGATAGATAGATAGATAGATAGATAGATAGATAGATAGATAAATAGATAGATAGATAGATAGATAGATAGAGATTATAGATTATATAATTATATATATAAATCTATAATATATAATATATATCAGCTATAAAGAGGGATAAACTGGAGACTTTTATAGATAAGTGGATATAACTCAAGTGAGATGATCAGACCCTTATGTGTAAACATCATGTTGTCTCTGTAGTGTGAGAAACTAAAAAAGCAAATAAGATCCAAAATATACAGTAGATACTGTGAATTAGGAAGAAAATGATTAAAAGAAAAGACAAACTGTGATGGAAACATGGTATAGGAAGGAAGGGAAAAAATTTAAATATTTACATACAAGATAGTTAAGATAGTTATACAGCTTGTTTCTCTTAGTTCATTGAAAAGAAAGCTTCACACTAATATTTTTTGGACAAGATATCATGCCTATATCTTGTACTCTGAATAACTACAAAGACAACAACATGTAATGTATTAATTATTGTAACTCTCTTACTAACCTGTTTTGAAACTGTTTGGTTTTTATTTTTGTTTTTTTCTGTTTCAAGTAAAATAAAAATAAGAATCATTGAAGATCTCTTAAAGCAAATTCCATGCCTCTACTCCTGAGAAATCTCATTTAACAGTTGCAAAGTGTGGCCCCAAAATATATATTCTTTCTAAAGCTCTGAAAGATTTTCAAAGACAAGCAGGTTTGGGAAACACAGGCCATTACAATCTCTCACTGGCATCATCATTCACATCATTATTATGGTTTTCACTGTTATTATTTTCACATTAACAATAATGGCACCTTATAGCTTCCATTTCATCTTGTCAGTGTGCTTCCATATATCTCTATTTTGTCCTCACAGTCACCCTCATTTATGGAGAAGGAAGTTGTTGCTAGTCTTACAGTTTAGAATATTTCTCACAAGAGATGCACAAAACATGGTCTGTACATAAAAGGAAATGTTACTCCTCGATAAAAAGGAAGAAAATGCTGAAACACATCAGTACAACATATATAAACCTTGAAAGCGTTCTAAGAGAAAGAAGCACAAAAGAGCATGTAGTGTATAACTTAATTCACAAGAAATGACTGATATAAGCAAATCTATAAAGACATAATGATAGATGGTTGCCTAGGGATGGAGAGGTTGGGGAAATGGAAAAGGAAAGTGAACTGGTACAGCTTTCTATTGGGGGAGATGAGAATGATCTAAAATTACATTACAATGATAGTTACACCACTTACTTATCTAAAAATCACTGAACTGTAACTTAAATGGGTAGATTTTTATACTGTGCAAGTTATACCTTCATAATGTTATTTTTAAAAAATTATTTTTAAAAGCGATATTAGTCACATAGATGATATGGAAATACTACTTAGCTAAAAGCTGTAAACTGGAAAACTTGTACAATAAAGCTGCTCTTTATTGAGTGCTACAGTGCGCAGTAGCATACCAGACGCTGCATGCTCATTGTCTTACTTTATTCTCAAAGCAGGAATTCCCATTTTATATGTGAAAAACTGAGTCTCAGGATTGCCAGTGGTTTCTCCAAGGACACAAGCTAGAAGCTGGCAAATGCTCCATGTCATCCAAATCTAATTCAACAGGCTTATTTTTTCCATTATAATGGAAACATTAGCACTCAAGTCTCCTGATTCCTCACTCAGGAATTTTTCCAACCTTTTTCAATTTGAAGGCTAAGAGGAAACAGTGTATATGAAATTTTTTAATCTTTCATTCAACTACTTCCAAAGGTAAACAAAGTAAAAAGAGTTTTGTCTTTCTTTCCTGGACGAATAGTCTTAAAGGTCAAAATAGGACAGTACCAGACTTATTTTCTGTATTCTCCTTATTCCAGTAGCCTCTTCCATTTGGCTTGACAGCAGGGGGAAAATTGATCATATTTATGAACATTATCCCAAAGCCACCCTCAGTTTTCTTGACAGAATGGGCAATACTCAGGACTGGAAAAGCATTGACATCCCCTGTAACTTATGCGATGACATATGAATAAATGTAAATGAACCTTATTCACATTCTACTTTGTCTAGGAATTTATCAGTAAGTACCACTGCACCCATGAGTGGTACAGGAGAGAAGTCCAATCAAACAAGACTCAAGAGAAGTCAACTGAAAAGAAATCTACAGTATTTTCAAAATTATATTTATTATGGGTTTATATTGAGATTGTTCATCATCAGCTGTTTCCCAACGCGCACGCGCGTACACACACACACACACACACACACACACACACACACACACAGAGAGAAGGAAAAAATAAGTATATAAAAAATAAATTTGGGGAAAATCTGTACATAATACTTATATCAGCTACAAGAATGTTCTAATCTTTATTATGAATGCATCGTCACTTTTTTCAAAACTTTTTAGCATTCTGAGATCATAACTAGTACAAAGGAAAACATAACAGATAAACAGGGTTCTTTGTGAAAGTTATTACAGAGAATCCCTTCAAATTTGACTGAGATATGGATTTTGCAATGACAAAGGACACTCACCCTATTGGTGACTTTGTTGGACAGTTCTCTCAGCCTAATTTTAAGCCCTTCCAATCTGCCCTGACACCTCTTTATTTCAAGATGTGCAGTAGAATGGCCAATCTTTGATGGTCAGAAATGACCTAGGATTTACCTCTGACACATACTCATTCTGCACATAATCAAATCATCCAAACCTCCTTGGGACTACTTTTCAAGGTCAGTTGTGAAGAAAAATCTAGCACTTGAATCCTGAGATTTCAATATAACAACCTTTTGGACCCTGTTTTCTATAAGTAATTGTCCCCTGACATGAGCAACAATGGCTGCTTAAGAGAAACGGGGTCTTGTGCAAGGGAACCCCTCATGCTCCTTTGTCTAGGAACACAAGAAACTTAGAAGCTGTGAAGTAGTGGCGGGGGTACTCTTAAAACAAATCATTAAATGTCTGTTTTGCTTTCTTTCTTGGCCATTTCACAGATTGGATTTCTTAGCAATTTCTCTATGCTAGTCTCACCTTTGTCAGAAGACTGGGGCAAGAAGACTGAATAATGTTGAAGGATTTGAGAAATAACAGTTTCATTGTCATCCTTCCTTGAGGCTATCCTTCAAAGCATTGTATCATACTAAATTGATCATATATCATACCCACCAAGTTAAAGGGTAGGAAATTATCTTCAATATAATTTATTTAGTAATTTACAAATTAACAAAATTCCTCTATATTCTAAATGACCACAAATGCTTTATATTTGAGTGAGTTGGTAAGACCTGGGATTTTTCCTATTTTCATGTGAGTACACAGGTTGTCAGAATTTTCAGCAATCTAAAAAAAAAAAAAAACCCTCCAGTTGAAGATCAAAATCTAGGGAGAATTTTAAAGGATTGACGTTCAGTGAGTTAGTTCTATTCTAATAGGAGTGATCTTTATTAAATACCAGTCATACCTACAGCTTTCTTTGGCATTTCTATCAATGATCTCAACCCCAGGGACACACCCTCAAGTGGGCTTTTTAGAAGCAACAGCTGAGCAGCCACCACTTACCTAAAAGTACATGTTCTGTAAATAAGTCCAGGAAGTCCTGCTTTCAGGGTGCATACCTCCAATGAATCGCAATTTACAAATCATTTTTTCTACAATTCAAAGTCAATTTGGACATATTCTCTCTATTAACCCAACCAAATGTCCTTCCCTGATACAACGCTAAGGTTTTCAGGGTCTGCCTTGACATTACCACTCATAATTGTTTATGAATAAGATCTAAACACCGTAATTCAGACTTTCTGTTGTATACTCCACCATCCATCTTTGAACCCCAGAGGAGACTGAAGGGTATGGAGTAGGATGGCTCACGGTTCTGTTTGTGCCTACAGAATCAGAAGTCTGAGCCTCATTCAGCTTATGCTTTGAAAGACACATTGCTTAATTTCTCTCAATAAATTCTGAGAACATAATCATAGCCATTTCCCACCAAGGGCTACCACCCACCGCTTGAATTACCTTCCTCTAGCTCATCCATGCTTCCGATCTTCCTGGATCCATCAATGGTGTAAATATAACGCACTCCCTGAGGCAGGTTGATGTTGTCAGACAGAGATCGAGTCAGGTCAGCCAGCAAAGCATCAAAGCTGCGGAAACGGTCAGAGGACACAGCGTACACAATCCCCTTGAAGTAGCGATCCCCATTGCGGTAGAAACGTACCTTCTTGGCCTTTTTCTCATTGCTCAGTGCCTGCAAGGTTCTGGTTCGGTAGAAGCTACAGTGGGCACTGTGCGTGGGACTAGGCAGCCCATTCATCCGTGTGCCTCGCATGTTCCTGGATGCTTTGTCTCTTTCGTCAAAGTGTCCAAAATCAAGTTCCATATTTTGGTGGAACTTCAGAGACCTGAGTGTTGGAGAAAGGGGTAAGGAGAGGCAAAGAAAAACGGGTGAGGAGAGGGGGGAAGAAAAAGAAAAGAATAAATATTAGCCAGATCCAGATCTGCAATCTGCTGCTTGTGAAAAGAATTGGCTGAAAAAAGCCTGTGACCCATCTGCTGTTTGCCCCTGACCTGCAGGAATATTGATCTTAATAGAGAAGAAGGAGGGGCTGGGCTGGGGTGCTGGTGGTTGTGGGGGTGGGGAATAAGAGACAGAAAGGGAGGCACTTTTGGCACTGCTCCAAACAGGGGATAGGGAGGGATTTTGAAAAAGCTTAAAATCCTGGAACTTACTGACAGAGGCTCCTATCAAATTGTAACTTCGGGCTAAATACATTAAAACTGGCATCTGTTTCCTCACACATGCCCACATGATTAACAGTTGTAAATGAATCCATAGCTTGACAAAATTCCCCTTGAAGAGAACAGAAGGAGCTAGCCAAGGTTAGCATCTCCAGTGAGAGGAGCAGTCTGCATCTCAGTACAATGACTGTGAAGGGGAGTGTTTTAATTTTATTCCAAATCCTTTTTCTTACTCTAATGTGTGCGTCCCCTCCCCCAGAATAAACTAGAATTCTCTTTTAAAGGGACAGCCTCCAGGGAATAACCAGTGTCTTTGTGCTATTCATCAAAACCTCTCCCCACCAAACTGGTGCATCTATCTGATATTCACAAGAAATGAGCTGGAAATAAAACAAGGATTCGAAAAATCAGTTATTTAACAAGTTCTTAGCTCTGCTTTCCTTTTGGTACCATTTGGTTCCAAAGCATCCCCCCCAGGTGCTTGATCCTCTCCCCACCAATGCAGCAACACCTCTTAATGAAATAATTGAATTGTCTAAAGATTCCCAGATGAGTTCCTGAACAGCATATGGGACCTTCACAAGCAAGCACACCTTTCATTGTTCAGGGCTTCTACCCTGACTGAAGGGGCATTTTGCCATCACAGCAGGCATTTTACCCCAAACTTGTCGATTGCCCGGCTGATCAGCTGAGGCAAAGATGGTTATCTGTCAGGCTTTGATTTTGCCCTTTCTGTCTGCTGAGCTCACACCCAGCCACCCCCACACACACAAAAAAAAATGAAACCAAATAAAGCTAAACCTCCAAACACTAGCAAAGGTACTGACGCCCTAAGAACCAAATTATTAGCATGCATCTCACAGATGAAAATAAATGGACTCACAAAGCAAGCAAGGCTCAGCTGCTATACATTGCCACACCGATATATTGGCAAAAGACTAGAGGGACAGGAGATAAAAGGGGGCTGGTGTCTGGTTAGATTTCCAGGCTCGGTTCCCCTTTTTTCCCAATGTCACCATGACCTATGCTGAGCTCAGCATTGTCTGTGTCAGACAACCTGCAGTAGTAAGACCCCACCTCCTCTAGACAAGTAGCAAGCATTTCCCCAGACATGCCAATAATGCTTTGCTTTGCTTTAGGATCAGAGGTTCTTAATTAACATCATAGTGAAAACAAAGGCACATCAAACTCACTTTTCCAAAGGAAAATCCCAGGTACAGCCTTAAGGAAAAAAATCCAATAGAATAAGTCAATCCAGAAGAGGAAAGAGAAAGAAAAAGGGAGGAGAAGGAGATAGAGAAAGGGAGAGAGAGAGAGAGAGAGAGAGAGAGCCCTTTGCCTTGTGCTTTTCCCATTTGACATCTGTTACATTCTGCTTGAAAATCAGTGGAAAACCCACTCACCGGTTTTTCTGCTGGTTGGGTGGAGATGCTGAGAGAAAGAAAACCAATCTCTCTATGCCTTTGTTGTCTGAGCTCCAAGCAAGAAATTCCTGCCAGGGTGGATAGATGCCTTCTAGGTCCTAGTGCCTTGTCCAGCTTCTCTTCTGTAACTCACACTTAGTGAATCCCCCCCACAACCTCCTATGATTAATTACATGCTATTAAAAAATTTCACAGCCTGCATTAACAACTAGAAAGGTTTCATTTATAACCAACAGGAAATTGTAGGGTAGCAAAAAGATTCCACAGACAAGTTCAGAATGCTCTAGTGAGCAATGTACTGGTCAGCCTTTTCTTTTAGAAAATTGGCACTCTCACTTAACCAAAACCTTGGCCTAATCCACCTGAGGGCCAAACTCAAACAGCCAAACTAGGCTTCTTAAAAATTATAACTCTCTTCCTTTCAGTTTGTTGAGTGAATATTAGGGCTGGCCAGATAGCTCAGCGGATGAAAGTGCCTGCTTAGGCAGAGCACAGAGACAGAGTTCAATCCCCAGCATGCTGTGCTGGCCCCACTCCCAGGGTACACTGAGACTGTGATTGAGACTGGGTGTGGTGGCATACACCTCCCACTTGGAAAGCTGAGAACAGGAGAATCACTGCTAGTCGGATCTGTGTGGTGAAACCCTGTAGACCTTGTACTAAATACATAAAAGAAAATTAAATCTGCACATTCTTTTTTTTCATAATTTTATTGAGAAACAAATACAAATGAGACAGTTTCAAATCAAATTGGTGCTACAGTTTCAATAATTAACACATTGCATACTCTCTTCCTAGTGGTCATTTGCTGTACAAGATGCAGACATGATATTCTATTTACAAACACTATTAGAACAAATCCCTCTATTCATTATGAGAAAGTAACTATGTATCTATCCTAACCATTTTGAATACACAGATACAAAATGGACATTCATCTGTATCCCCTTTTTTGTTTAGTTCTGTCATTTCATTATACTAATTGTGTTATGTTATGAAATATTAAATAATAATAGGGAACTATTTAACAATAATAGGGGAAACCAAGAGAAGGAATGTGTGGGTAAAGGTTATAGTTTTGTCTCATTTTTTCAATTGTTTGTAGATTTTTTCTTCTTAATTTCTTATACACTTCTCATTTTTTTCTTCCTTCTTTCAATTTTATATGCATATATCTGGCAATATGAATAATGTTGGAAGATAACACTATGTATTATAACAAATACTGTTAAATTCCTATTACTTTGTTAAGTGAAATTCTGTACACTTATAAGTTTTTGGTTTTTATATTGTTTTTTGCTCTCTTTTAAAAAAGGAAACTAAGTAAAAAAAGAAAAAGAAAAAAAGAATCTCCCAAAACTTCCAGGCTGGTATAAGAATTTGGTTAACACTAGGAAGAATGTATACAGTGTGTTGATTATTGAAGCTGTCCTACCAATTTGATTTGAGACTGTCTCATTACTATTTATTTATCAATAAAATTATGGGAAAAAAAGAATTTGGTTAAGGAAATCTGTGATGCTTAACTTTGAAAGCCTGAAAATTCAAAAACAACCCAGAGAGCTTTCTATGAGAAGTAAATTTTATGGCTACAAGATAAATGTTTTTAAAAAATCTCTCCTCAAACTGTTTATATGTCGCAAACTGGCTTGTTTATATCAAGTATGTTTTAAAGAACAAGGAAGCATCCACATGTAAATTATTAGGTCAGGCTAAACTATAAGACAGAAAAGAAGGATGAGAGGCTACATGGGAGGGGGCTGCTGTCCTCACAATTGAGTCTGTGTGTATTAATGTGTAGCAGTCTTAAACTGTCATGGTTCCATTTCTGCTTGGCCTCCAGGAAGCTCAGAGCTAACAGCATGCCTGCATGTGGAAAAATGATCCTCTTTCTTTCTGGATGTGTGGGCTCAGCAAAACCTAAGCTATCTATATCGACTAGTATGTATCTTGCCCATGTTAAGTCCTCCCAGTACCTTGCTACTGCTCTCCAGGTTTCTATATAAGACCTTAGTGGAGTGTATGTGTCTGCTCTACAATTCCATGTGTCATTGCCTTATATTGTAGTCATTTTTTGAAAAGTCAGGATTACTCAGGTCACAGGCATAGAAATATAAAAGAACGAGAGCACAGAAACACGGACATTTCAGTAAGGTTAATTTCTTAAAACTCCATTCTTGTACACCATAGGTATTCAATGAATATGCACTAACAGATTTTGCATCAGAAATCAAAATCATTTTATTTCTGGTAGGGCTCTACAGGTAGATGAGATTATAAAACAAATATGAAAGATTTATAATAGATTTTAGAAACAATTTTCTCAAGAAACTGTACTCTGAATGCTACCAATATCTTTATTTTTTTATTTTCTTTAAATACTGATTAGAAGCCAAATACTATGCATGGTGTTTCTTCATCCTCCAAATTTTATTTTATTTTACTTTATTTTATTGAGAAACAAATAGCAATGAGACAGTTTCAAAACTGATTAATAGGACAGTTTCAATAATTAATACATTGTACATTGTTATCTTCTTAGTGGTTATCCATAGTACAAGATGCAGACAGGATATCCTGTCCAAACACTATTAGTACAAATCTTCTCATTGAATTAAGAGAAAGTATCTGTATACCTATCCTAACTATTCTGCATATACAGATATAAAATGGTCCTTCCTTTGTTTCCCCTTTTTATTTGTTTGGTCCTGTCAAAGATGGGTATTCCTTTGGCATCTCAATACTATAGGTACGTGAATTCAGCAAAACAATCCAACACAGTCCAGCAGTCCACAATAGTAATGGGTTATCCGCAGAAGTTGTTGACTAGAGCCTTTTATAGCACAGCATATTAACATAGCTTTACTTTATATATTTCATTTTTATACTTTTCTGCTGGATGGTTAAGACCAAGATAAAACAAGACCTATATAATAAGAAATATAACTTTTGTATCTGATAAGGTCAGTCAAGTACCCTCAGGATTTATCCTGTAACCCTGTACTGCAGTTTGCTGATTCTTTGTCACTGTCAGCCATGCCACCAACATCTTTGACAACCTGGAGTAAATGACTTTGTTTACTATATATACATCAGAAAAAGAGATGTGGATAAGGCCAATATTTCCCAATATGACTTATGTGGATGCTAGTAAGGTTTCTTTAAAAACAGGGGGAAAAGATTCTATAATAAAAATGGTTTCAAAAATGATTAACTACACAAAGTTTTCTTTATAATAAAACATATCAGATCTTTAACATATTTACAGTATGGTACGTTCTCCAAGAAAAACACTTAAACTGTTTTTAGTTTAGTTTAGTTTACTAGTATATTTGTGTAGCACATAATGTTTACATTCCTTGTGAGAAGTTTATATATGCATGTAATATACTTTAATTTCTTGTTTTCATCCCATCCCCCTCCTTCTTTGGTACATTTGCAGTGCATAATGTCTCCATTCCTTATGTGATGTTGGTACACATATAGAACATGTTCCAGTTCCTTTTTATGTCCCCTACTCCTCCCATCTCGCCCTACCTACAACTCATGATTCTTCTCTCTCTTGAGAAAGATAATACACCTTACAGTCTATTATTTATCTTTTATTTTGCTCGTATTTTTACTCTGGAAGTTACACATAAGGAAAACTATGTGATGGTTAAGTTTGTGTGTCTGATTTTGTTCACTTGGCAACATGGTCTCAAGATGCATCCATTTTCTCACAAATGACTCATGTTTGTCTTTCATTACAGCACAGTAATACTCTACTATATACTGCAGTAATTCACTGACCGTGGCTACTTGAGTAAGAAATGTTCAACTAAATTGGATCAGCATAGTTTGGGGGGTAACTGAAGGGATTTACTAAAGACAATAGTCTTATCACCTTAATGGTATAAAAGACAAGTGAAGGAAAGCTTGCTGCTTCTTTGGAGGTGCTCCAGTCTCTTCAGCTTTCCAGCACAGACCCCTTGCCTTCCTGATGTGGACTTGCACACAACTCTTCTGTGAGCCACAGTCCTCTGACCTTCGCCTAAATCCTTCGTATGTCCAGCACACGGACAGCCCTTTTGCACTCTTCTATACCTTACTCTGCAGGTGGCCCTTGTAACTCTCCTTGTAAATTCTCATATTTACTTATATTCCATTAAATGTTTCTCTAGTGAGCACTTAATGACACATGTACAAATATGACATTTGTTTTATCCATTCATCTGTTAATGGACATATAGGCCACTTCCAAGATTTAGCAATAATAGATTCTGCCACTATAAACTTAGCTATGCATGTAACACTGTAATATGACATTTTTAACTCTTTTAGGAAGATACCTAGGAGTGGCATTGCTGGATCAAATGGAATTTCTAGTTTCAATTTCTTGAAGAATCTCCATAATGATTTCCATAGTGATGGGACTAGGTTACATTTCAACAACAATGGAGAAAGAGGGCCAATCAGGGAGCTCAGTGGACTAAAGTGCCTAGTTGGCAGACTCAGGAACCAGGATACAATCCCTGGTGTGCAGTGCAGGCCCCAGCCCCAGAGCATACTGAGACAGTAAATAAGACTGGGCATGGTGGTGGGCATCTGTAATCCCAGCACTTGGGAAGCTCAAAATAGGAGGATCACTATGAGTGTGATCTGTGTAGTGAGACTCTATAGACCCTATACTAAAAACAGTTTTAAAAATGGAGAAAGATTCCTTTTCCCTTACAGCCTCAACAGCATTTGGTATTATTCGATTTCTTGATGAAGACCATTCTTTCTGAGGTAAAATAGAATCTCAGTATTGTTTCAATTTTCATTTTTCTAATAGGCATGAGTATTGAGCATTTCTTGACATATTCAGTTGCCATTTGTCTATTCAATTCAGGTACTTATATTTGGAGAAGGGTCTATTTTTGAGATCTTTATATATTTTAGGTATTAGACTTCTTGTCTAACAAATCAATGGACAAAAAGTTTTCTCATTCTGTTAGTTGCCTTTTCGTTATGTTAGTTGTTTCTTTTGCTGTAAAGAAAATTTTTAATTTAATGTGTCCCATTTGTTGAGATTTAGAACTATTTCCTGTCAAATTGGCATTATGTTGAAAAAGAATAAACCTTAATTTGAAAAGCTTCCTCCTATTTT